AACATTTGTTATGTTTTCATTCATAAGCATTTATGCTCCGAATTTTTAGGGATATCCTTCTTAACTTTAAAATATGCTTAAATCACTGCTGTTAAATTATTTAAATTTCCTCCCTTGTTTAAGGTCATGCCAACCTATGCCTTAATCTCCTTATTCCTTTATACCAATACGAATGCACATACATACATACAAGTACACTCTGCCACATAGACAGTAAGCTTTAAATCGCATTATTCATTCATTCATTGGTGAATAAACGGAAAAACAAAAAACACACGCATGGCCAACGACTGGCACAGTGTTAATTGTGTTGTTGTATTTTTTTTTTTTTTATTGTTAAGCCAAGCTGATTGTTGTCATTATAATCACCAACATCAGCCGCTTTAATTACAGCAAAAAACAAGATAAAATACCAACGTCAACAACAATAACAAAACAATGTAGGCTAAACGAAAAAACACGCATCCAGGAAAAGCGACTTAAAATGATGGCAGATGAGATGCCAAGAAAATAAATTCAAGAAAAAAAAACAACCAAAATGGTTGAGTATTAAACGAAAAGAGAAATGACAGATTATTTATAAATTCATATTTTTCTCTTTTGCAGTAAATAAACAAAAGCAAAGTTGGGTGTGGACGTTTGTGGAGGGCCACAACATCCGCCACATTTCTTGGTACTATTTTGTTTGATAAAGGCACATTTAACGTTCGTTAGAAAAGTTCAAGCGCCTTAGAATATGCTACAGGCATTTTCAACATCAAAAAGGAAATGGAATTTCTTTGTTTTTCGAAGAGATTCGAAGAGATTTCGAAGAGATTCACATTTGACATAGATGCTTCTCTACTCATTTCCGGTTCACATTTCTTAATGTATTTCTACGCCAAAATCTTAGAATCTTACGGAAATATATTTTTAACGCGAAAATGCTGCTATGGCGCTAATAAATAGCCCCAAAAATTGGAATGTGATGATGGCGTGCGTTTAGAAAGGATGGATTTTTAGCGTGTTAAGTAATTTGAGTAGCCACTATTTCGCCCACGAAAAATGTGTTTTTTTTATTTAATTGAAATTAGGGTGAGGAAATAAAGAAAAATTTCGCCCGTAAAGTGGATTATACCCTTGAGCCTTTTATGACATCGATAATCCCCCATTCTGCGGAGTTATTTATGTCACTGATGTAAAACAAGAATCTTGACCCAATGGGCTTTACTTCGTGAGAAATTTTAGAATGCAGTTAAAAAAAATGTATTTGCAAATTATTTATCTAACTAGAAGCAAATATAAGCATAACTCTTTCCTTCACATGAATTCGCCCAGGACGCATACTCTTTTAATTTAATTAGGTGCTGTTGGTGACCTCATTGGTTTTTATAATAATTCGAGTGCACATTCTTTTCGAAGGTTGTCTAACAGGACAATTCTGGCAACTGTCTTACAACTCTTTCGCTATCTTGAAAGCTCTTTACTTTCTTTCGAAAGACTAATTAAAAGATGTTCTAACCAGGTCTTAGCGTTATGCCGTTAGCCTTTTAGCAATAAATGTTTTTTTAATTAAATTAATTTAATTTAATAATAATAATATTAATAATAATAATAATAAAACTATAATAATATTCCGACCAACAACAACACTTACTGGACCAACAACAACATTTACTGGACCAACAACAACACTTACTGGACCAACAACAACATTTACTGGACCAACAACAACACTTACTGGACGTCCGGCGCGGAGAACAATTAACGAGATAATGAGAAACTGACGAAACGAGTTGCTTACTTTTAACAGCTTTTTCACAGAAAACTAGTTTTCGCACGTAAGCTCCCTTTTCGTAGACCAGGTCACATATAAATTTTTTTATTTATTTTTCTTTATTAAATTTTCCTTGTTTTAGAAATAAAAAGAGTTTTCTTAATTGACTTTAATTATTAATAACTATTGTTTACTTTTTTCATTTATTTTTTTTTTCTAAAATAGTTTTATAATTTAATTTAAAAAAATATTTATTCCATTTAAACTTTACAAGTATTTTTATTTACTTTTCTTTATTAAATCTTCCTTTATTTACTAGTTTTTATTAAAGATTAAATGAAAAAAGTAAACAATAGTTATTAAAAATTAAAGTCAATTAAGAAAAATCTTTTTATTTCTAAAACAAAATACAAAAATTAAAAAATTTTGATAATTAAAATAGATAAAAATTATTTAATATCCCAAAAACGATATGAAATAAAACAAGTATATTTTTCCTTTTAAAACAATAATGTATAAAAATTTAAATAAATTTAAACTAACAAAAGAAAAAAAAATTAATAAAAAAAGAAAACAATAGTTATTGAAAATTAAATTAAAGAACATTTTTTTATTTCTAAAACAAAATATAAAAATTAAAAAATTTATATAATTAAAAGAGATAAAAATTATAATCAAGATCCGAAAAACGAAATGAAATAAACCAAATATATTTTTCTTTTTAAAACGATAATGCATAAAAATTAAAATAAATTGGGACTAACAAAACAAATTAAATTGAAATAAATAAAATAATAAACTTTTTAATATACCACACTTTTATAAATGGACAAAAAATTGGAAAATAATATATCTCAGTCCCATAGAATTTGTTTTAATAACTTTTGATTTTGAAATTTTAGCAAAAGTCATTATAAACAATTTATGAGATTGAAAACGAAAAACGTGGAGCGCAGGCGTTAAGTTAAGTAGTCATAATCATACCTTTACACTTTTGTGCTAGAATATCAAAAGCCCTTCGAGCTATCCTGGCATCTGTCTTTCATATTAATACATTAAACGAGCAATTCTTGTATATATATACAAGATGTTTTGAACCACTTTTGGAGTGGAAATTGAGAAATGTATTTTACTTTCCATTTGTGTTTCGAAAACGAATGGTTCAGAATTTTCCAGGTTGAGATCGCTGAAATTGTCAGCAACAAGGTTAATATCTAAAATGCTTAATTCCCTTTACTGCAAAAGGGGCGTTTAGTGGCAAGTAAGTAATTTAAATCCATCTCTCTTTTTACGCTTATGTCGGTCCACCCCATTAGATATGGTGGACATTGGCATGCTGTGGGCTCCTGTTCCTCACCAGTTCCTTTAGCATAGCAGCTGGTAAAGAGCTCCATTAATTACGAGAGATAGGTAAGTGGGTAGGGGTAAGTGATTTTCAGTCTGTATTTTCTTTTCTGAAGCTTAATACTGGCCTACGTTGTAATTTGCAGTCATAGGGTTTTCTCTTCTATAGCACTAAAGTGGGCATATTTAGAAGCCATCAAGTTATAGCTCCTGTTGCCAGGAACCCATGGCTTTTCAGCTTTTTCGGAGCTTCTTCTGAGTTAAATGATAAGTATCCATTTGGTTGTAATTGGACTTGCCATAATTGATGTCCATTTCAAAGCTGCTAAGTTCGATGTCCATGTTTTAGACCTTGAGTGTAATATTCCCGAAGCAACGGCTGGCCTTGTGGTCACTCTTCGCTATAATGTCTACGCATCCGTTATCAAAAAACAAGACTACCTGCATGGCTCCTCGACATTTTTAGGCATGCTTTCCCTGTAGTTTTAGAATATCCCCAAGTTTTCTGCTAGGTGATGGTGAGGTCGAATCTCAATATCTCGTCTTGGGATATCTCTATGTTCAACAACTTTCGCATGAGCTTCTGTCCGGTCTTAGGCTAATTTATCGCATCTTAGTACAGACCAACTACCGTCATAGACAACGAGCTTCATGCACCCCTACAACCAGTAATTGCTTTCGGCTATGACGTCCTAGATCTTCTAATCTTTTGCTATCTCAGCGGAAGATTATGTCCGTAATTAGCTCTTAAAAACCAGCGATTTTCCCTAAAACTCGGTGTTGAAAATCGAAATAATCTCGATGACACGATATCCTCTTGTTCCCTCCTTCGAGTTCTGATCGGTCAGGTGGACTGACGGCAAAGAGTTTGTGATGTGATATGTCAGTCTCGATGAGTGGCTTTAGATGTTTGTGTCCTGTTGAAGTCTTGAAGCCGAGCTCCGGTCATCAAGCTAACCTCTTGACTACCCGCAGCAAGCTCCTGAGATGCTTTTCGGTGAGTGTTCTCCTTTGTGTCAACAGCCCTAATTGGAAATGCCGAGTTTTAATCCACCTGATCTTTCCATCGCAGTTAAGCCTGGAGCGTTTGCGTCCAGTTGTACGCATGCCATTTTAAGGCTCATGCAGCCATCGCTTAATCATCATCGTCGTCAAAGCATAAAGGCTCAAAAATTTAAAAATAAATAGAACAGGCCTATGTTTTTGAATCCCCAGCCAGGATTATCCACGGCAAGGGTCATGTGACAACTTTACCCGCTCCTGAAATTAGAAAGATGGCAACTGGGATTTTCGATGCGATGGGCGTGTGTAATAACTTTGGATTTGGGAATGGTGGTCGCTACCATAAGCCCGAAAATCGTTTGTCAGCAATCGTCATAAGGAAGCCTCTTCTTTTTGGGGTTTGCTAATCACCAGCACCACCACAAAAGCAGCGTTTTTAGAAGTCGCGAAATTGTGAGTTTACCACGCTTAGGATAACGAACAAATTGAGCCACAGCCATACTCGTACTAAAATTGGTCAAAATAAAATTTCTAAACTCAATTGTAACAAAACTGAAGTAGACACCAGTGACAAATTGCCCGATTTGTGTGTCCTTTTCATCTTTTTACTACATTTGACACGCTTTTTATTGAGGCAAATTAGATTTAAATGCATAGCTACAATTTACATTAACTTACTTTCTTCTCAAGCAAAATACTTAAGTGAAATTTTTTTATTCCAACGCTACGCCCGCTCTCCGGTGTCGCTAGATCAAAATTCTTTGCAGCATATCATTTTACCCAAATTATATTGTTATTAGCATTTTAGCATTTTTTTATTGCTCGCGCTAACAAGCGTCCCTTCTTCTTACAATTACACCAATTTTATATTTCTTTATTTTTTATTTTTTTCTCACAGAAATCGCTTGGAGTCGAATTCGGAACATTGGAATGCGTTGTTGTTGTCACTACGCGAACTCACCGAATGGGTTATACGCAAAGATACCGAACAATCGTCGCTGAGCGTTGGTCCGCTGATGGGCGATGCTGCGAGTCTGCAAAAACAATTGGTAAGTAATGATGACAAATTGTTCTGGGTGGGAAGGCAATGTTGCATGAAATGGGGGTCAACTTTTGGTGGTGAAAAATAAGCTATTGCGTTGACATTTTATTTTTGCTGTTTAGATTCAACGAATGAGGCATGATTTAGCAAAGGATTAAAAAGGGAAAGTTTTGGTGTTTGTGATTGCATTCTTATTTTTCTTTTATAAATTCGTTAATTTTTGGAAAACATTTGAAAATCGTAGCCTCTTAAAACTTCTTGATTGCGGGCATAATTGACGAGAGCTAACAAGGAGGAATATTTCGAAGCGACATTTTTACCACTCATCAGTTTATTTAGAGTAGACTAAAGGGTTTACTTTTAGGTCAAAACCCCATTTAGATCTTTCGATTTAGATGTGTATTTATTTATTTATTTTGATGTGTATTAAGATTCAGCGAATAATTGTTTTCATAGAACAGAACGCAACCATTTTTTTTTTCTTTTTCTAAAGAATCCTAATGAAATTTCATTAAAATTGTCAGTTAGAGTTCCTTCCACGCAGCTGGTTGGGCACCATATTAGAGCCCTGTTGGTAGGCCGTCAGCTCCAGCAGCTTTGTTATTCTTCAGCCGAGAAATCGCTGTTGGAATTTCATGCTCTGGTTGCTCTCCTCTGCTAGTGTCAGTACTGTTACCATCCATATGTACTGCCTTAATAGTTTCCGCGCGCTCTGGACATCGGCTACTAGACTCCCGTGTTTGTTCTTGTAGGCTACTCGCGTAGTTTTTCCTCCCTTATCAGGAAAAATTCCCCCTCCAGCTCCCTTTATCGGTCCAAGGTAACATGCTTTCTTCCCCAATACGCCCCATTTTTCTTACTCTGCCTCGGCGTAACACCTCTCTTCCTACCAGTTGATATATAGGGCTCACTGAAATCCGACTAGGTATTTTATTGGCGGCGGCACGTGATGTATGGAAAATTTGGTTGTTTTGTTGTTGTGGCAACTGTCTAAATCGGCTAGCCTATCAATCATTGCTGTCAAGCTCAACAAGCGGTAGGCCCGGGAAACTTACTGTTTCAAAGCTGTCGAACTAGTTAGAAGGGTATTAGCTGACTGGTTTGAATGGGGAAATTAAAAAAAATGGTTAATGTCCTTTAGATAAAACCTTAGTTGCACAGAATTTCTCGGGTCTCTCGATACAGCTGAACCTCTTCGTGTGTGATAAGTGGTGGTTGAACTCCGACGACGGCATTCACTGTGCGAGAGTTTGTAAGGCCGGTAATTATCACTCGATGCGATGTCGGAACCACTTGTTGTGTGATATAAGGATTAGAAATGGGCGCGGGATATCTGGACCATGGGTCACTGATTTCGAAATGGCCGGGGTGGGCGGTATCGAGAAGTTCTTTAAAAAAATTTCGCGCAGGATGGGATCAAAATCTTTTCCCGCACTCCCTGTGAAACTCGCATGCTCCGCATATTCTGAAAATCTTTCTTAAAACGTTGAATGAAATAACTTCTTTTTTATGCTTTATTGAGACGAAAACGAAAGCAAATCGAAATAATCTGAAGATACTAGATCTTTCACAATTTTTATTTTTTTTTTTTATAATTTTGAAGACATATGAATTTGTCGTAGTTATAGAAATTAAGGAAAGCGACGGGGAGAGAAGCGTCCTAGTCTAGCATTGAAATAGACAAGCTCGCGACAGCACTTCTAGGGATGCTCCAAGTAGTCATGGATTTTTTATCGCATCTGACACATGCGTTGCTCACGTTGCCTAAAGAGCACAAACTCCGACCTAAATGAGGAACTGTGTATAGTCAGGTGCATACCCATAGGCACCGCTAAATCCCTTTGTAACCCTATCTTCTAATATATCTAAAGAAATGCTGCTTATAAACTTATTTTTATGTACTTTGCTTATACACTAGAAAAATATATAGACGCAAATTTAGTTAGACTGCACATTACCACATTCTTTCCGCTTGCAAGTAATTGCGTGGAAAGAACTGAAATAATATTTATGGCTATTTTCTTTGTAGCATCGAAACGAAACGAAACGCATGGCGATTACTGCCAACGGCGCTACCTATACAGGTTGAATTCTACACTCGTCCCATGCCACAGCGCTTCCCTGCAAAAAGTGGTACTAGGTTAAGTACTAGTACAGGACCACACTACCTTGTAACCAACACTAGTAACCAAAATGGTCCAAATATATGGAGAAAATATGGTTACATTAACATTGCGATGTCATTGGACCTGACCACCTCTGGTCCAACGCTGCATAACATGGGACCGCTTTTGGTCCATCACTGCATAACATGGGACCACCTAGACAACTACTCCTTTTGAACCGGCAACCGAATCATATTGCCGATCGGCCACGAAGAGGTGGTGTTCAACACATATATCAGTTTTTTACGTTTGAAGTGGTCCAGGTCAGGATAACAAGTTACTAGTATGCAACCTGGTCCTTTTGCTCATACTTTAAAACTACGACCCAGTAGACCACCTGGTCCTCAAATTTTTGCAGGGTTATTTCCACCACTTACAGACACATGCGAATATATTGCACCCTTTTCAACGAACCCATCATCACTCACCGACTTCCCGCAGTACCGAGCTACTTATATACAAACATAAGTGCGTACGTACTCATGTACATATGTATGTAGGTTGATGCGCCTGACTGACTGCTTCACACATTGTGCTCGTCGTGCCTCCTTTTGCATTTTGCGCAAACAAGTAAGCTCTGCTTACTATACTACCTCTACTCGCCTTAATGCGTTGAGGTCGCTCACGAGTTGAGATTTAATGGCGTATGAAGTGGGTTCATTTTTGAGGTTAAGACAATTTTGAGATTTTGACAGCATGCCAAGTGGCGTGCGAGCGAACGGTGAAAGAGTGTTAGTCGAAGGAAAGATTGTAGCTATTTCGGCTTGAAGAGACAGATTGTGTAAGGACATATTTTTAAAGTACACTGTGTGTGTATTTTTTTATGTTTACAATGTATAGGTACGGAGAGGTAGGTGCACATCCATGCATATATAAGACAAATGGAAGGGTTACGCTTGAGTGCTCATCACGAATACCTACCCCTCAGTATGTATGTATGTATTTAGAGATAGTACTTAATGTATTTGTGTGCTCTTGTGTCATTTGCTAATGTGTGACCTCCTTTCAAGTGGTTACATTGCTACCCTCCACTCGAGCGCACACCAGGTTGTTAAGTGTCTGCTGGCAAACATATCGGAAGATAGGCGATTAAGTGATGTTTTTTTTACTCCTTTAAATTGTCTTTTTATGTGTTTGAAGGTTTTTTTTTTAAATTGCCAAATATGCACATCTAAGTGCTTATAAACGAAATCTGGCAACAGGCGTCAAGAATACTATATTGAGGCATCACATCTCACAGAAGCTTTTTCATAACACGTAAATAGACTAAGGGGGGTTTCCATTGGCTGTCGCTGTTAGAAAAAAATGTATCCATTTTATACTGCTCTGAGCATGGCTCGGATCTTAGTGAAAGTGCACAGTAAGTTCTTGGGTACAGCTGTCGTCTGACATATTAAGGGCATAAAATTAAAATGATTTCGCTTACCATATAGATCATTATGGTCCTATGAATAGATCCTTCGACCAAGCTCGATTGGTGGACAAAGAAAGCAAGCGTGGCCGCGAACAAAATGGAAATACCAATTTTAGAATGATCCCTCAGCAATTCTTATGAGAAGCTGTCGAAAATTCGCAAGGCATTACCTTCTTCTCTGCTCTCAGCTCATACTCATGAGTTATTTTGGAGCCATAAAAAATGAAGTACAAGTAATAGAAAACCTATAAATGGTTGAATTTCAAAATATGTGTTCGTTTCAATTACTGCTCCAAGTAACTACTCTACAAATTGCTCTTTTCCATTTGCTGGACATTTTCAATTTACAATTTGCTCCCAACTTTGCCTTCCATGTGGACTTTATGCCCGAAAATAAAAGTACCAAAGCAACATAACTTGCAAAGGATACTTGAACGCGCTCGAATATGGTTGTGAGCGTATATACTTAGTGTATATTAATGTAGTCAGTTCCATTACATTGTATTCTCGTAATTGTTTAATGACCCTTGCCCAATGTTCGCACACACAAATGTAGCCGTATGTACATACGCGTGCACATTCATAAGTGTGTTTGTGAAATTACTACTTTTGGTCGGCCAACATCCGCACAAATATCCACTGAAGAGCTGAATGTTAGTTGAACCAAAGTTTTTGCGCACCGCAAAGAAAATCACTCAAGGGCTTGGCGTGATTGCAGACACAACTACAAACAAAAAAGCAAAATTTAGGTATGAATTACACAAAAAAAGGGTAAGCATTGAAAAGAGCAAATGATTGTGTACGAAAAACAGGGCAAATAAAACTAAAAGGCAGTGAGCAGTCAAAGCACTTTAGTTGCTCATTCGCCCACTACGCCTGCGAGCGGCAACTGAACTCCTGCAATCACAGCACGCGGTGATATAAAACTTCCCAAAAATCTCCGGCGTCGTCGCAACCACTGTATGGACTCCTGATTCTGCGGAGTTGTAAAACTTTTTCACCGCAGTTGGACATATTTACATGTGCTGCTCAGTGGCCTTTGCTGCTGTCATTGCTACTGCCACTGTGACTTTGTTGCTTTACTCGTTAAGTCAGTAGTGGCCATGTTAATGTTAGCCACATATGCATTCGAGTGGGTAGTAAAAAATCAAATCAGAAAAAAGCAGTGCCTGCAGTCAATTGAATTGCTGGTGAAAATGCTGGCCGGCTCTACTATTTGCAGCGTTTCGATGTGTTTATAGCGCCAAGCCAGTCAAAATAATAATAAAGTAGCTGTGACAGTGGCAGTTTAGGTTGTGGTCAATTCTTTGATCGCCTACTGTGTGAGGAGATTATAGTGGCTATGGGCTGGAAGGAAATAAATGCCGTTAGGCGAATTAATGTTTTTATTTTATTTTTTTCTTAGCCAAAATAGCTAACTAATCGCCAGATACTTCCCTTTTACTACCTGTTCAAAAAACCTCATTTCCGATTCACCTTATTTCTGTTTATTCAAGTGGAAAAATATCCGTAGGTGGTTTATGCGCTGCACGATTTAGCTTTTGTGTTCGCTTGCAACTTAAACACATTAAATATAAATGTATTTGTAATTTCACAACAAATTTTACTTCATTAGGTTGCCAGTACATTTATGGGTTTAGCTAGAGTATTTTTAGATTAATTTTATGCTCTTTCTTGTACTCACTTAACTTTTAACAACTTTTAGTCATTTATTTGTTGTAACTTATTGCGGTCAGCAATGTGTACAATATTTTCGGTCATAAATCTGAAGTTTTCCAGTGGTGATGACATTGTAACCATATAAACAGTTTGGCGAGTAATCGACCAAGTCATCGGTCGAGCAAACTGGAGAGGCAGTCATTAGAAACTCAGTTTGTTTACTTGGTCGAGTATTATTTCCCCGCTACACTCTTCACACCTCCCGCAGCGATTCATCAACTCGCTTGTCAAATCTGCATACGCAGTCGCCAGTCAATCGCCACTCAGAACACTTACAATCCCCTCCCCCTTAAATACGGCCTTGATAATGATAATAGATTGGCGCTGACACATATGTTAGTGTTTGGCCGAGCTTCTCTTCCGATTTGCGAATGCCTGCCGATATTAATGAATATATTTATCGATATATTTATCGATATTTTTGTCGATATATTTATAAATATTGATATCGATAAATGTATCGATATATATTTTTATCAAATGTTTCTGCAATCTCGAAGTAGTTTCGAAAATCCCGAAATAGTCCCAAGAATTAGAATATGGTCTCGATAATCCCAAAAATCCCGAAGTAGTGTCGAAAATCTCAAAATAGTCCCAAAAATCCCAGAGTATGTATGTAGTTCCGAAGATCCCGATACAACCCCAAGACCCCGAAAATCTCAAAGTAGCTTCGAAGATCCCGAAATAGTTCCGAAAGTCCCTAAGTAGTCCCGAAAATTCCGATATATTATAGTTAATTACAAACTTGTTAAAGCAGATATGAGCCATAGTTCATTTGAAGTTAGTTTGCTTGACGGCATTTGGACAGAATTGAATAACTATATACTACTTACCTTCCTTACCAGCTTGTTCGCAAAGCTGTTTCCAAGGATATTTCTGTGGCCGGAACCCAGACTACATTCTTTGTGCATTGCGTAATTGCTACATTCGCAGAGGAGAGGTTGCATTATAGCCCGAGCTTACAAAATGCCACAGTAGTCCTTAAGTTGCAGGTTTAAGCTAAGGAGTAGTTTCCCGACCGGATATTGCTGCTGACTTTATCATTCAGCTCTGAACCATGGCTAAAGATTGAAATGGTATTAAAGTCTGTCTATTCAACTTTACCATTCGCTCTCAGCGGGAGCTCTTGCCGAAGACGAAAAGCAGGCAGATAAGATATTTGTAAACAAGTAATAATATTTTGGCGCTTACACATTTTCTACCTCTTTGACCGAGCCTCTCCTCCAATTTGGGATGTACACTCGGTTTGCCATTGCCCGACGCTCTAAGCAAACTTTTTTTTGGTTGGATATTGCTTTTGCCAGGGATTGAATTTTGGTCCTACCTAGTGGAAGTTCGCACCTTTAACCGCTCCGCTATGGTCAAATAAGCGGTTATTTTGTTTAGAGGGCACATACAATTGAATGCTGTTTTGTTTGGTACAAACGAATGGTTTATGGATACAAAAAAATTAATCTGAGTTGGTTAAGTGTAGGCTTTTATAAAATTTTATGCAACATAATGTATTTTTTTTTTAATTTCTTTGCACCAGATGACGCAATTCTTTTTTTTTTAATTTTCTCCAAAGACTTTATACTGGTAGTGGGAACCACTTTGTTCGCGCCCAAAGCCCTTTCAAGGTTTATATACATTTTGTATTGACGTGTGTACATAAAGTTAAAGATCTCTCTGCCCATCGCTGCTTTATACGACTGTTGATCGTTTCCTTTTTCTACAGGTCAAAACTTGTCAGTTATTTAAGAGTAAAGTACTCAATATAAATTTAAGTAGTCATTTTAGGTGCCATAAGCAAGCTTTTAACACGTTTCGACTAAAACAACATTCAAGTGTTCGGTAATTTATAACGAAATCCTCCTATACTAATTCGTGCTTGTTAATAATTTACATATCTTCATTACGACTTACATAACTCTCAAAATCTAATTTATTACACACATAAAGTGTTTACCACAACAATTCATGTATCAATTTCTTCGTCACTTATCTTTACTTACAGGATGATCATAAAGCCTTTCGACGTCAACTGGAGGACAAACGTCCCATTGTCGAAAGCAATTTATTGAGTGGACGTCAGTATATTACAAGTGAGCCGCCAGTATCGGACAACAGTGATACGGAAGGTGAGTAAAACAAAAACTAACTTACATACAAGTATGCGAGCATATAATCGTACATATGTACTTTGCATAGCATAGGCATGGGTAGTATGGGTTGTAAACAAAATACAGGCCTATACACACATATTCGTGAAACTACAATCATGATTATAAGCACACATTTGTATGTACCTAGATGCATATAAAAGCACTTTTACATACATACTGATATAACACGTTGGTTGTGTGTTCATATCGAACAGGCCGTGTCTGGTGTTAATGGCATTAAACATTCGGATTCGTGACATCACTAACTGTGCAACACTCAATCGCCTGTCAATAAAAGCTTTCAACTAGCATAGTACCCAGACAGATAGGCCGCATTGCTGATATTTTTACGTACGAGTACGTACTGGTTCATAGGTAAATACATATATAAACATATGTATATGAGGGAAGTGCATATCTGCCTATCGTCAATGTGCCAATTCAAGCCCATCTAGTTGGTAGACCATTTTCAGCTAAATATATGAACCTTACTTGGGTCTCTACATACATGCATAAATACATAGGTATATATATGACGAAATAAAGGATTGCTTTAGCAGATAGTGACATCAATTGCCGTTTGATGTGGTAATTCTATTCTATGGTGCATTGGTGCAACTGTTGGATGCAATTTCTATCCAGTACTCCAAAGGAAGCGGTTTTAAATTTTTAGAAAAATATTGTCGCAGAAATACTTGGGTAACAGAATTCAGTAATACGTAGCAAAAAAAAAAATTTTGGTTTGATAGCAACCGCAGTTTCAGACACACGAGTTAGCATAGTAAAACCAATGCAACAGCCACTTTAAGAACCCAATGACTCCATCTCAAGATGAATGTACTATACCCATGAGGTAAAAGTCCACAATATATATTTCAAAATGGAAGCGACAGGACTTCCGCTCTCAATTCTTTACTTCTAAATTTTTTTCGCCAGATGTATTGAGAATGGACCAGTTTCATTATCTTTCCCTCTATCAACTAGAGATGCCAGATCGATATAAAAAAGTAAGTTTTTTAAACGTTTAGAATAAAAATAGACATAATCTATGCAGGAAGGAATCGTCTAGAAATAAATCGATTTCACAAGATTGATTCGCATATTATGTCAAATAACGTATTTTACTTAATTTTTATAAAGAAACAAAACACAGCGATCTGACCAAACTTTTATTGTACATAAGTATCTTTTAAAACATACATACAAATATTGTTCATAACGGTTTCAGTTTCTAGAGTTATTTGAAAAAGAGATAAGGCTTTTCTTTACTAAGCCATTAAAATGATAATTTAACTAAAACTTCATAAATTCTTAAACCAAATTTCCGCTAGGCAACGAAATGACAAAAAATGTATGCCATTTTAAAAATGCCATATGAAAACAAACACTATGACACGGGTGGTGTTTACCGCCCAACATAGTGCTTACAATTTCTTCATTTAAAGCCTTGTGTAAACTCAATGTTAGTTAGCCCTATTTAAGAAAACTTACATTTTTTGGAAATTTTGTTTGTGCTTTTTTTTTTTGTTTAACACAAATGAGGAAAAATTCTAGGTTTTATTTCAAACTTAACGACAATTTTAAGAAGTATGGTAGAGCTTACGTACATATATTTTTGGCAAATCGGGCATTTGTTAGCTTTGTTTTGTTTTCCCTGACTCTATATTTCACTTCTTAAGTAACCTTTAAACAAAATATAAGAAGAGTAATTGAGGGGTGAACATTTTTTATGAAAATTTTCATAAAGTTGGGAACCACAATTGTGATTTTGCTATAGAATTTCTTATCGATTTTGTTATCGATATTTTTATCGGTTGTTTTATCGATATCTTGTTGGATGTTACTATCGACTTTGCTTTCTAAAGAGTATAAAGATAAAAGTGAAGATAAAGGAAAACCGAATAACATAAATGTAATTAGAACGAACAGGGGTAGGGGTAGCGATCTAGATAGAAAAAAGACAAAAAATAAGCAAAAGCAGATGTATTGATGTATGTATGTATGTATATTGGTTATGAGACAAAATAGATATAGAACGTAAGTTTCACATCTCCAGTGTGGCCCAGGCACACTTTCTTTTTTTTTAGAACTATCTCCGTACAAAAATTGGCTCACAAGAGTGCATTGGAGAAGTTTGAGATTCCGTTTTAAAGAACTTAAAATAAAATTAAATTTAATATACATTGCCTACTGCGTAAAAATTCCAACTGTTTGCTAAAAAAGACATCATGAAAATATCACCAGCAATCGGTCAGCAATTGATTGCCGAAATGGCGTACAAATTTGGCAACTGGATTTTACTGCCAATGGCCGATTGCAGTGGCGGCAGCAGTTGCCGTACAAAACACATACACTCAAATAGCACAAACATACATGCGCACATATACATTTAAGCCTTAACATGGTTGCTTGTAAATTGTTTTTTTTTTTTTTTCATTTTGTACCCTAATGGCCCAGTATCAACAAACCATTTTCACAAATTTACTATATCCTTTAAGCGCTGTGAATGTGTGCAACAGAAATTTTCGATAATGTTAATGCTGGACAAAAACAAGCTGCCTTACATTCGCATGCATATACATATACATACATATCCTCATATATATAAGTAAGTTTGCATGTCGATGGTATAAGCCAGACAAAACCACTTTCCGGCAATCCTGTGAAAATGGTATGTTGTGAAAAATGTTGGATGGAAAGCAAAACCAAATATCTATAAAAAAATTTAAATACTTTCTCTCTTTGGCTTTTGTGCAAAAACTGTTTACTTTTTTAAGTGTTTGCCTCTGTTTGTGTGCTATTTAATGCTAGTTCACTTTTAGCAAATTTCACTACTAAATATTCCAGTCCCAATGTTCGGTCAATGTAACCATTTCACCACACCCACCACCTTTAATGCCTTTACATACGATAATGCGCCCGGTTAGCCAGTGAGCAAGTCAGTGAGCAAACCGGTGAGCTAACCAGACATGGAGGCGTCAGTGGCGTAATTGTAGGTAATCGTTAGTAATGTGAACGCATAATTACTATCGTTAGTTGCGTGCAATTGAGTGGCTTAAATGGCGTCGCTTCAACTGTTTAATAAAATTAAATGTGCTTTAAATGTGAACATTTGTGTTAAGAATATGGTTTTGTAAATTGATTTTTGTGCTGTTGCTGTTAAAGTTGTTAAATGTTGTATGTGTTAAAGTAGATTACAGAAAGGTTAAGCACGGTATTAAAGCTGATCAAATGGTGATTGGAAATTAAGTAGATTTCGGTTTCATTTTTGCTTTTGATTATTTTCCGTATGAGCCACAGTAGTGAACCATGATTAGTTATTCTGTAAGAGGAAAAAATCTGGCTTTAGACGTTCTTTATCTCTTATTTCTGAATGTATTAGTGGGTTTCTCTGTATGGTTATAGGCTATAGTAGTGACGACAACAAACCATAAATTTCAGCATACAAGAACCAGTTCAGCTAAGCAGAACAAAATGCTTCTACATCGGTCGCGATTCTTATAACATTACCAAAGAGATTCAGCCTGTAAAGAGATTTTTTAAGGCTCGCACAACAGATATCTGTTGACTTTTGCCAAAACAACTTCTCTCGCGTGAGATCATTTTCTCTTCAAAGCAGTGATTCATTGAGTTCTCGAATGATATTTTTGAATTTAGTCATTAGTAGGAGTAGTTCAAGGTGGAAGATCTCGGTGAAATTTAAATGAAAATGATAAATTTTTAGATGGAAGTCCTTTTTAATTTACTCTAAATTCCAACCTACAAAAGGCACAGAGGTCGTTTTGTTAAAAGTCCACAGATATAAATCTAGGGTCGGTATACCGATTAATCCATTGACTGCCTGCCCTGCTGTGGTGTTGTGGGTGGTATTCAATGCGGGTTAGAGGAGGAAAAAAATTCGGAATGTGTCTATTTTGATGTTTACTTTCAAGCTTATTCTGATAACGTAGCCCGCATCTCATTTAACTCTACTGATGATTGTTGTGCAGAAAGTGGTTTGTAGGTCTATAATAAATAATTATTATTTGGCTTTTCCTGCGCTCCGAGCTATAGCTTTGGAAATTTCGGGTGATAATAAGTATTGCAGGGCTATTTTAGACTCCAAACTTTTTATAGGGAAAGCACTTCTCGCTGAAAATTACCCAAACGCTATCTCCGTTTTGGATGTGTCCGTAAGACATGGGGCCTGCCGCCCAAAATGGTCCCATGGATAATAAACTGCAGTTATTTTACCACTTATCGGATATGCATGTGTGGTATGCGCGGATGATAGAGGATAGTGGGCCCGTGAGGAGCATAGAAACCGTCCCCTGTACCCGTACCAACTTTCCTCTAGAAAATTCATTGTGTAGCATGGACCACCATACGGCGATCCCGTAAAATTGGACAGGTCTCGCTGTAGCTGTCTACATTCAGTGTACTAGTTACATGTGGTTATATTCCCCATTATTTCCCTATATCCGTATTCCTAGCGATCTACGATATTACGCTTCCAGTCATTTATGGCGTCTTAGAAAGGGAAATCTTAAGGCAAATTGATTTATAAACGTCGTCGAGACTAATCAACTTTAAGGAAAGATAGCAATACCTTCTAAATAATAGCTGTTACAAACTTCCTTGCGCGAAGGATTGCTGTCAGACTGAGTTTTCTTACCAAAGTGCCTTGAAAAGGCTGATTATGCAACGGACACCAGCATCGAGTGCACCGAACCGGAAGGTGGCTAGAGCCTCTTCGGTTTTGCAAACAAAGATCGTAAAAATTTATCGTTACAGGATGAAGACAAAATGTGAAGTTTTCACAACCTACAGATTTTTATCCTTTCATAGTAGTGAAAAGGGAATTCAGTTATTTCTTCATCTACTTTTTTTTAATTTTTTCCTACAGAATTTAAATGTGCTTCGAATTTCCTGTGAAAAACCCAGTACCCTAAAATGCATTCTTAGGGAACCACATTCTGCACGGTCCGACTGGAGTA